GACTCCTGAGCATGTGAATGACTCGGTCTCTGATCCCTGTGCCTGCTCTTGGGGCTATTTTCCTTCTATTTGGGTTACCTTGTCCAGCTCCAGTGTGGTGTTTTTTTTTTTTTGTCTTCTCTTACTATATTTCATTTTGCCATTATCTCTTTTAAAAATAGGGAGTGAGGAGGAGGGGAAAAAAGAAAGATGAAGATGGAGAAAACAATGAAAGAGAAATAACACAATTCCCCTAGAGAAAAGTTCATAGCAGGGTTGAACTAGACTGTTGTGGGCCTGAGAAACATTTGTCAGTGTGGTCTCTTCATCAATTCAATATGGTATTTAAAAATAATGTATTTTTAAAATTAGATTTATCACTGCATTGTGATGACTGTCAGTATATGAATTAAAATGCTTCCAACTTGAAAGTATTTTAGAATACTACCCTGCCCCAATCTCAAAAGAAATGAGACTAGTCATGGTAGTGTATGCCTATAGTCCCAGCACTCTGCTAGACTAAAGTAAGAGGGTCATGAGCTCCAAGGCAACCTGTACTATATAGTGAGACTGTCCAAAATCTTTTTCAAGTGACCTCTATAGCCAGAATTCTTCCTGCCAGCCTGGTCCCAGAGTAACATCAACCTCAAATAACACACAGAGACTCTATTAGTTACAAAGCTGTTGACTAATGACCAGGGCTTCTCATTGGCTAGTTCTGTCTTAAGTATTAACCCATGACTACTAACATATATTTTTACAAGTTCTTATCTTACCAAGGACGCAGCCAGCCTCACGTGTCCTCTCTTCCTGGAATCACATGGCCACTCCTCACCCTTGACTACATTTCCCAGAATCCTCCTCGACTCCTAGTCCCACCCATCTTGCCCCCCTATTGGCCAACAGTGCTTTATTCATCAACCGATATAAGAAACACATACACAGAAGGACTTCCCCCATCAGCCCTCCTACCATGAGACCAAGGCCCCGGATCCCAGCAAAGGAAAAGAGTAAAGGAAAAGAAGAGACAAATGATGGAATTCCAGAGACGAGGAGCAGAGCTAATCAGCGGTAGGAAAGTTCAGTAAACATACATGTTGGTGTATTTCCATAGCCCACCACTGTGCCAGCTGACCTTCACTGTGCATTACAATACTTTATCTCACACATTCCACACGATGGTCATTAATGAAGTAGACAAAGATGTACCATGAAGCATTAGGGCTCCTGTTTTCTCTTCAACACTTCCATGCCCAGTCTTTAAGTCATCCTCCCACAACTGCGCATCTTCATGAATGTACAAATATGCTCTCAGACTCCGATCAGCCATACAATTAGGTGGAATAAGCCCATACCCACAAAATACAATGACGATAATTAAATACATCATGACCAATACATCATGACCAATATATCTGTGACTTTCAGAATAATTGCAGATGCAAGACTATTAGCTGAAGGACAGACAGAGATCGAGTTTGACTTAGAACAAATCCTGATCAAACTAGAACTCATAATTAGATGCCATCGTGGGCATCATGTTTGCAGAATTCCATCTCCATCCCGTTGCTGCTGTGTAATGTCTACAACATCCCTTGCTTTAGTGTCCCTTTGGCTGGTCATCCAGTGCCTCTAGCTGTTTCATCTAGGAGGTGTTCAACTACCAACAGCAAGGTCTTTACCCAAGTGTTACGAGCTGTACAGAAACACCTAAAAGACAGACTAGAGGTAGAATGAGCTCCCAAGACGGTGATGTCCATCATGAAAGCAGGTTCTCTCTAGCGTTTGAAGTCTAGGGTTCATCACATCTCACAGTTAGGCATCCTAGCAGCTGTAGGAGAGACACGAGGTTGTCGCTGCTGTAGGCTTCTGGGTCCAAACCCAAGAAAGAAACTTCCTGAAAACAATCCTTTGCTTGTCAGTCACGGGAATCATTTCGGGCGCCAGTTCCTGAACCGATAACCAGTAAGTAAGATGTCTGTTATGTAGCCAGGTCTACCTGGAGACGAGTCCAAGCCCCAAATCACAGCGAGTGGGGCGTGGAAGAGGTGTTTGTTAGGGAGGAAGCCGTGGATGAGTCTGCTTGGCGGACCCAGACAGAGGACACCTAGAGAGCTCCTCGCCGCCTGGCGGCGCCATCCTCAGAGCGGTGGTACATCTGCATCTGAACCCAATGCGCTGCTCCGCACTGCTCCACCTCCCACACGCTTGGCTTTACTCAATGCCACAAAAAACAGAAGCCCCAGACAATCTCCAAGTCGTCCCTCGTCTTCATCCTCCATCCCATCCCCATCATTCCTTAATGTGTGGCCCCCATAGCTCCGGTTCCCTTGGATCTACGTCTCTGCTGTTCCCAGAAGCAAGGCTCTGGACTGCCTGAGTGGGAAGGAAAGACCACACCACAGTGTGTGCAACGTCCTTTCCCGGCTTCCCTTAGCACCTTGGCTGCAGATGCAGTTCCTCTATGCCGCTGTTACTCAGGAAGTACTTACAGGGAGCACACAAAAAGTAGATTATGGGAACCCCGGTCTGGAGGCGAACAAGGTGGATCAAGACCCTGACTTCGCCGGGTCCTGGTGCCGCACACCTTCAGTCACTGAACTTGGCAGAGGCAGGTGGATCTCTCTGAGTTCAAGGTCAGCCTGGTCTACAAAGTAAGTTCCAGGACAGCCAGGATTTTACAGGCTAGGGGGTCGCTGGGGTGAGGGAGTGAATAGGACATGCCTATTAGAACGTCCAGAACCAGCCAACAGCCACTGATAGGTTTTAAAAGCAATTTGTGCCTAATCTTTGCTGAAGGAAAAAAAAAACTAAACAAAAGAGAGGGAAGGAAAAAAAAAAGCAAAGAATTGTGTTCTGTGTTTCTAGTTCTTTTTCTGCTCCCAGAATTCCATGTACCTTATTTAATTGTCCTGAACATTTCACATTTATTTATACATTTTCATATTCTTTTTAGTAAGACTAGATCCTCCTTCCCCAGTGCCACAAGCTTATGCAAAACATGATTGCTGTTATTTACCTCATTTTTAAAAATATGTTGCCTTGGTCTCTCATCCCCCTTCTGAGAAAAAAGTAAGAGAGCAAGGGAAAGAGAGAGATTTAGAGTTGTGAAACTCACTGTAAAAAATTTTAAACTATTGAACATCTTTACAAATGAGGAAACTAGTACCTCGAAAGTTAAAAACTGCTGCCTATTATCTCTCTGTAACGGCACATTCATGTAATCCCAGCATTCAGATGTTCAGGCAGGAAGTTCTTAAATTCAAGGCCAGTCGAGGCCACATGACAAGTGTGAGGCCAGTTTGTACTACGTGGCGAGAGACTGTCTCAAAAAGTAGAACAGAAACAATGACAAAGCAACAAAAACCCTTGCTCAAGTTCAACCAGTTTGCCAACGGAATTTTGTCTGAAAGCCTTAGAAGACTAGGATTGTCATGGGTGTCAGTTCCCATCCAAGGAGGGAGCTGGAAACAGTGTGGCTGCTACAGCTAAGGACCTCGTGAATGAGGTAGATTTTCCTTAGATCTTCATGGTCTTGTCCAAGCTTTCAGTCTACAAAACGCGTAACAGGTTGGTTCTTTATACAATGCAGTATTTTCCATGAATTTGGTCTCTTACATTCAAGATTTTAGGGAATGTCTTACATTCAAGACATTTTGGGGACTATATATCCATAAATACAAAATACAAATACTTTTTGAAGTTTGGTAGCTTTTTAAAGAGCCATATCCTAGTAAGAACCAAGCCTATGTTTATCTGTGTGATGTAAGTTTGCTTTTAAGAAGATGACTGTGGCTGGAGAGGCAGCCCAGTAGTTAAGAATACTTGCTCCAAAATCAGAAGGCCCAGAGTTCAAATCCCAACACATAAAGAACAAGCTCCCATAACCCCAGCTCCAAGAAGAAAGTGACAGGAGGGTCACTGTGGTTTGCTTGGTGGCTTTCAGTCTAGCTGAGACCTGAGCCCTGCATTCAGTGGGAGACCCCACCTCGGAGAAATAGATGGAGGGTGATAAAGGAGGGAGATAAAGGCCCCTTCTGCCATCTGCATGTGCACAGGTGAGCATACCAGCATGCACATGTGTGTGCTTACACACAACACACACACACACACACATACACATGCATGCACATGCAGGCACACACAAATAAAAACAAATATTTTTTTCGATAAAGGAGAAAATGAGTGTGGTGTAAGCACGTTTTGAAGTTTGGCTAGGAAAGCAGCTCCACTTGAGCCATGCAGAGTACTCTGAAAGAATGGCACAGCTTCTTAAAACCTCGGAATCAAAGTTGTTAATGCTATAAAAAAAATCAGCCTTGGAAAATGTCTGATGCACAGGCACTTCTAATGAGCATGCTAAAACCAGGGGAAGCATCTCTCGTCAGCACCAACAGAGAGACATCTGCTGGGTTCAGCGTATGGATGATTCATAAGGATACAAAGGTGTTGGATGTCTAAAATGGAATGCTACCTCAGGATGACCCTTGGATTCTTAAGGCCGACTTTTAATGAACAGCCGACCTCTAAAACGCAATAAAAGTAATTATGATCGTATCACTGCTTTTCTTTTGGTTGTGCAACCAAACTTTTTGAAATGGGTTAAATCATAATGTGTTTAAAGCATCAACTTTAGTACTTTTAGTGGAATTTATTTCCCCTGAAACTCTTTGGACCATTCTATCTCACACAGGTTCCTGCCACAGTCAGTCCCAGTAGAGATTAAAATGGTTGTTTGTGGCCTTTACATTGCACTTTTTCCTACCTCTCTAGAAAAGTCTGTTCTCTAATCTCCTTACAACTCATGGGACAGGAGACAAACAATGGCACATCTCTTCCTTGTTCTTCTTTATGGATATGAGTTATGAGACCTGACAATCCAGCTATTAACACACAAGGCCACTTTGTCATAAAACTGTCCAGGCAGAGGTCTGTCTGCAAATATCTTTGCAAATTGTGGGTAGGAGATAGTCCTGAATTTGTGATAAAGGTCCATCTTGTTAACAGCAGGACTCACTAACCTTATGGAGACAGTCCAAGAGGAAGCAGCAGGGCAAGCAGAACGTTCGGAAAGCTGTCAGTCACAAAGGACCCGCAGTTGGTGTGGGCTTGGGTGAGTTGCCGTATCACTGGGTCAGAGTAAATGAGTACACCGTGGTTTCCCCGTTACCTAGCACAGTGCGGCCACGTACATCACACCAAGATCCTCGCCGGCCTTCGGAAGCCAACATCAACATGACGTCACCCGCAGCTGTGATGGCAGGAAGAAGGGTTGAGAGAACGCTTTTGAGCCCGAGAAAGGCAGGGCGTACATATGTGTAATGCACTGCCTCCGTACGTGCCCAGGGGTTCTGAGCTGTACCATAAAGCGGCGTTCATTACTGCCTCAGACGCTGTGGCGGGTTCCCAGCAACATCCCATCCCACAGGAGAAGCTCCAGTGGCGACGGACAAAAGGTGGCCAGGGGCAACCTTTGTTCACCATTCCATCACGCGGCTCTACAATAAATAATTAGTCACCCAGTGTACACACGGGATGTGGCAAAGCTTCCTGAAAGGACGGAACCCTCTGCCAGAGGTCAGGGTCCAGTCGCTGTTCTGAGCCGGCAGATCCCTAACCAGGCTCCTCGGCTTCACCGGGGAGCCACACTTAAACCAATCAGAAGGCACCTTGGACAGAGACACGTCTTTACAGTGTACCAAGAGATTATCCCACAACAATCTTTCTTGGTTACAACAGCAGCTGGCAAGACTGACATCTACCCCATGCCTGCATTTGAGACTTGTTCTTAACTGGAAGCCACAAACGAGCCTGACAAGTGTCAAGGACATTAGAGGCATGCCATGGCCAAACGCGTCTTACCAGTGACTCGGTCTCCAAGTTCCCCATCTGCCAGCCATTTTTCTTGTCACTGCAGCAGCACACCCTGCAAAAACAACTCAAGGATTTATTTGGGCTCTTGGTTTAAAGGGGTACAGTTTATTACAGCAATGATGACGTGGGCAGGAGTGACCCACAGCTGTGCAATTTCTCCTGTGTTGGCAGACCAAGAGGGAACAGGGAGGAAGCAGGACCGTGTGTAAGTCTCACAGCCCATGTCCCCAACACTCCCTCCACCTAGTGTCCCCTAGAGTTTTACCCCCTCTTTCAACTGTCCATCGGTCGTGGGAGCCTGCCAGAGGTAGTCACACCCACACCAACAATCACTGTCACGTCCAAACCACACATCACCGTCACCTCTCTCACTTTCCATCCCTCCGGTCTCTGGGAAACTACTGTTTAGTCAGTGTCCCTCTGTTCATAAACGGATGTGGTGCTTCAGTCCAGTCTGCTCGTCCAGACCAGTGCTGAGAGCCTGAAGCCCACAGGCCCAAAGATCCGCCTTCCACATTTTGTGCTGTCTGCCCTGCAGCCCTGGGCATCATTATAACACTGAGTGTTCAGAGTTTAGTGGGGTGGGGGATGAGGGGCATTTTTTCTCCAGCCTCAAACACTGGGGACTTCAATGACCGTATCACAACATGGCAGCCCAAGAAGAGACCGCGTCTGAGAAATAACGCCAGGGTCACAGACCTTCCCTGCTGCGCTCGGTTCAAATCAGTTAGTGAGCTTCGTGCTTCCTAATAGTTTTAGGGTCGTTTAAAGAGTGCTCTAAGTTTTTCCTCTAATTTTGTTAAGAGATGCTTTAGGAAGAGTCCAGAAAATATTCTTTTAAGACCAAGGGAACAAAGCAGGGCACGTGACGTCTTGTGTTTACAAACATATGGTGAAGGTGCTGTAGGGAAAGCGACTTCTCATAACTCCGCTGTGCTTGCTGAGATGTGGCCAGCGGGGTCACTAAAGGCTGAACGTCTTTCCTGTTAAGTGGCTTGGAAAGCGCTCCCTGGAGACGATGACACTTGTGAAGCGGAAGTTAAACGTCTCAGAGGGAAATTTCCCACACAGTGGTGGTGCAGGCTCTCCTGTGCCTCGTATTAGCGCTTGGTAAAACGGGGAGCAGCTTGACGGGCTTCCATGCTCCTGAACTCTTCCCACCCACACCCCACAACCCCACGGCCACGGAAGACCTGGACCCAGGGTTTCTCTCTCCTCTTCGAGGAGACCAACATAAACAAAGGAGATAGGGTCAAATTACAGAATACTGAAAGCAGCAAAGGTTATAATTCTTAAGGAAATTTGAAAACTCTTCTAATGGGCTATTGTCAGAACTATTCATTTTTTAATATTCTGGACATGGAAGCTCTCTTCAAAAGGAGCGTGGCAAAGCCAGACCAAAATGACCAAATCCCAAAACTCAGGCAGAAGGATTACTGCACTAGCCTTAGCTGATAGCAAGATCCTGTTTAAAATACAAGCAAGCAAAAAAAAAAAAACCCAAGTATCTAAATAGATGAATCAGTAGATACTTGGTCATCGTCCTTGTCTTTCCCAGTAGAAAACCATGCACCATTCCAATCCATTCCCTTCAATTCACAGGCGACAAGCCTGAGCCCCACCCCAAAGAGTCAACTTATCTAACACTTACCTGTGAAACAATGACAAAAGCATAATGTTCCTGAGACCCATCTTTACTGTCCCTAGACCTGCAGTTGGGCCTTGGAAGGCCTATAATAAATCTTAACTACCTAAATGTAGCACTGCATGCTATGGTGTTAATGATTTATTTACCCCTCTTAAGAGTATTGACTTTTTCTCAGAAAGGATTTGGTTCTGTCTTGGTTTGGTTTCTGTTACTTTGATAAAATGAGCAGAAATGTGTTTTAGCTCAAGTTACTATCCATCGTTTCAGGAAAGCGACAGCAACGAAAGCTGGAGACAGCTAGCCATGTCCACAGTCAAGACAGGGCGGGGCCAATCGACAGACCCATGCTTGAGCTCACCTCCATGTCCACATTCATATGTAGTTCAGGACCCCTGCCGAGGGAATGGTACCCCCCAAAGTGGGCAGGTCTCACTATCTCAATTAACAATCAAGGTAACACACAACATCAGGTTGGCTCGAAAGCCAGTCTAATGGAGAGAGAATTTCCCACTGAAATTCTCATCCTGGGTGATTCTGGATCAAGTTGACACTTAAAAGCGACCATCACAGGTTCTTTAGATCAAAGAGATATAGCAAAGAGCAAATACATAGCTGTTAATAGACTTACTTGAATGAAACATACCTCACATAGGCTTGGGTATTTGAACCCTTGGTTCCTAGTCAGTGGCACTGTTTAGGAAGGTCTAGGTGGTAAAGCCTTGCTGAAGGAAGTATGTCACTTGGGGTGGGCAGGCTTGGGTAGGACGTTTCTATGCTCTGTTTTCAGCACCGCATCTGGGGTGGAGAGATGCTTTTTTTTGCGTCTGCCCAGGAAAAAAAAGTCAGACATTGAAAACAAAACAACAACTAACATAAGAAAATCTAAGCCAAAGCCAAATCTGGTAGTCTGCACCTGTGATGCCAGCACTAGAGGCAGAAGGAGCAGAAGCTCAGGGCCATTGTCCGCTTCTTGTAAGCTTTGAGCTTGAGGCCAGCTTCCAGGGTTGGTCCTTCAGGTGAGAGAGAACATGTTCATCAGCCACGTGTAATATATATGGCTAAGTGGTGCACATGGCTAGCTGTTCTGTATTTCAAAATGAGCATAAGGACTTTAAAGTTTGCCAAACATTAGAGCAAAAGGTGTCTGCCTGTTTGTTTGTTTGATTGTTTTTACCAAGTTCCAATCTGGCCAGTTCTGCTTTCCAAATGCCAGCTTCCCTCCCTTGCTTTGTGAAGACACCCATGCTCTCATACAGCCCTTCCTTGCTTCACACACAGGTGTGCTTAGAAATGGCTGCATTTAAGAATGGAAAAATCCAGCTTATCTGTGTGTGTAGCGCATGCCTCTCCCAGCACTCTGGAACTGCCACAATCGAGGTTAAAACCACCTGTTTACAAGATTTAGAGCACAGCCTCTTAAGGTGTGACTGACACATAGTGACATTCGTAACTGCAAACACCTGCACTATGAGTTGTTCATTGGTCCTACTCAGCGCTCCCTTGCTTTCCCCTCTTGGGAATATTCTGACACAACTCTTTGTGTGTTTCGGGTTACATTAGGGGCTGCTCTCCCATGTGCTTCTGCCACCGTGACGTTCTGTCCAAGCACAGGAGTCTGAGAGACCGTGGATTGAGCTCCAAAATCACGAGTCAAGTAAAAGTCTGCAGAACTAAGTTTCTCTGACAGCAGATGATAAAAAGATGAAGCACACTGTTTGCTATGGGTGACCGATTACATTTGTAGATTATTCTCATCAAATGAATTGTAGCCATCACAAAGTCAGCTTTTACATTTTGGGTTGTTTTGGATTCCTACATATGTTGCATGTGTTTGATACACGTTGTTTTGTTGCTAATGATGGGATCTTTCTCGGTAACCAAGGGTGGATTGAATTTATAGGGATCCTCCTGCCTCTGTCCTTCAGGGTTGGGATTATAGGCATGAGCCACCATGCCCAGATAATACATATGTTCTTAATAACTCAAGGAAGAACAAAGAGGCCCTACTTGTATTGAGTCGAGCATTCGATAGAGGGAGTTAAAAGTCTTTACAGTTCTTAGAAGAGTTTTCCATCTAATGCAAAGCTTTCCATGGGTCATGGAGCAATGCCGCAGTAACTGTTTCGTAGATTTTTTTTCAGAACATTTTCTGTGTCTGGATTGTTGTCAGTACCTTCTGACGATTCTCCAATTAGAAGTTTCCTTTTCCTCCTCAGCGTGATGATGAACATCTGGAATCCCAGCACTTGGGAGGCAGAGACAAGAGAATCAGGAGTTCAAGGCTATTAGATTACAAATGCTGTGGGTCTCCTGTCTCACCGTCCCCTATGCAAGATGCAAGTGACTGTGTTTACCTAAAATCCATCTCACCACATCTCAATCAAGCTTGAAAAGAGGTTCCATTATTTCAAAGGTCATTGGCAGCTATGCAGAATCCCAGGCCAGCCAAGGGCTATGTCACACCCTGACTTAAAAAAATGTTTAATATAAAAAGACCTATGTTGCCAACTTGTCCTTTAAAAAGATGAGCCAGGCATTGATGCAAAAAGCTTGGTTCCATAAAAACTAAAGCATTTTGTCAAGTAAAGGACAAGTTACTAACCTCTAACTCTGTGAGATTTGTGTGCAGAAATAAGATGCATGGAAAAGGACCCCATCCTTCAGACAAAGCAGCAGACTCCAGAACGGGAGACTTTCACCAACTACACATCCAACAGAGGGATAATATCCAAAAATTATGTGAAGAACTTTAAAAACTAGATATCAAGAAAACAAATAATCCAGTTTTTAAAATGGGGTACATATCTAAGCAGAGAGTTCTCCGTAGAGGAAACTCAAATGTCTGAGAAACACTAAGAAATGTCCACATCCTTAGCCATGAGGGAAATGCTAATCAAAATGTCCCTGAGTTTTCACCTTACACCTGTCAGGATGACTAAGATCAATAACACAAATGAGAGCTCATGCTGGCGTGGATGTGGAACACGGGGAATGCTCATCCAAATGCATTTGTTTTATGCAGATATTATCTGTGAAGTCCATGATAACCAAGCTATAATCCATAGAACCATAGAGGGTAGGTCGTAGAGTAAGGACTAGAGGGAACAGCTAGATCTTGTTAGGAAAAGGAAACAAAATAGATAGATATGGAT